ACTTATTTGTGTCTGCTTTCCTATTTCTAAAATTCAGACACAGCCATCCGCCTAAGGCTTATTCATTGAATATATGAAAACAAGTTACAGTGTACTCAGAGATCATACCTGCCCATTACAACTCCTGCTTCAGCGCCGGTATAACAAATCAGGTACCTACATTACGGTTGGGGGTTACGGTTCATGGGCAGTGGTTAGCACATCCCATAGATAAGGAGTTAATAAAAGATTGCTGTGGTAGAGTAAGAGAACTTCCCAAATGCCACGCATCGCAACTACCAGAGAGCAAGGCTCTCATGCTGGGATCTGTAATTACAGAAATCAGGCCCCTCTGTAGCGAGAGACAAAGCTAGCTGCAGTCAGCACCGTGGAAGGTTGCTCCTAGGCGCTGCTGAGCGAGAACTGCACATCTAGCACCTGTACTTTCCTAGAAGCCTTTTATTCTTCGCAAATCTCCTTAATTTAGAGAACTGTCAAAGCGCTCACTGGTACAAGGAACAGAGGTGTTAAACATACTCTCTGGACAGTTCTACTGCTCTCCATCATCACCAGCAGACGGCGAATGCGCAAAGGAGTGGGCTTTAAGAGGACTGTGTTCGAAGCATCTTTGGCATCTGGCAGGGAGGTTTTCCTTTCCTATCAACACAGCACAAAGAAAAACTAACACCAGCACTCACACGACCAGGAAGAATAAGATAAAAGTTCAACCTTTTTATTACCACAAGAAAATGCAAGCCTACTGTTAGACAAAATAGCCTAAGAACTGCACAAAATCTTTTCTGTCTTTAACAGTAGCCAAGGAGATGGGACAGAAGTTTAAATCAACCCCTTGCCTTAAGCAACATTTAGCATTCCTCAGGTAGATATCCTGCAATTACACAATGATTTTAGGTTCTAACACATCAGCCAGCCCAAATTCTTAACCCGTCCCACAACTTCTCCGCTCCAAGCAGCCGCATGCAAAACACAAATTGACAGAAGCAGGCACAGCTTCCCACAGTCCCTGCTTCGCCTCCCTCGGCCGCGCTCGGCCCAGCTGCTCTCCGCAAAGGCAAGGGGCTGTACCAGAACAGGCTGTCAGTCGCCTGGGAGCCCGGGACACCTTCCCTAGAGCATGCAGGCAAACTCTGAAGCCACATTTGTCTGCAAGTTAATTATTAAGTGTTTTTCCTCCTGCAGAATTCCTGCCCATCCAGCACCATGGCAACAGCTTTATCCCCCTCCTTGGCAGCAGCGTTGCTGCAGTAACAGTGTCCATGATTCATCTGGAGGAGAGGAGAGCAAAGCAGAGCCACCAAAGAGGAGTAAACCCTGGGCAGAATCCCCACCAGGCTTCTGCTCATTGATGTTTGCACCCCTGCACTGTATTTTCCAACTCTTTTTGCACTGAAAATATTTTTAAAACTTTTTTTTTTTTAAGTCAACATGCCAGTATCTAACTGAATGACATCTGGGAAGATTAGCTGCCAGAGTACTGCAATCAAGTGGTTTTTCTTCTTCTGGCAGTGCCCAGTCTCCTAGCAGGGGGAAAAAAAAAAAAAAAAAAGGTATATATATTCCTCTCAGTCCGTATTAAATTTGCTTGCTGCAATTCCTGTTGAAAAATCAATCAGAGTATGCACGTGCTGTTTTTTCCCCCCATACATAACAGAAGCCCGCAGCTACACTGGAAGGTCTTATTGGGAATGGGCTGCTTGCAATTGGCAGATACTTCTGCTTAGCTGAGCACTCTCAAAGTTGCTAGTCTCATTCCATACATACTTATTTTTAAATTAGTGTAGGGCCTGGTTGCCCACACTTCCGTGACGCACTTAAATGTGTCATCTGCTTTCGCTATCCTAATTCACCGTCACCACAATTTGGGGAATGGAGGCGGTATCCCTGTCTATTTTAGTTAGACGTGAGGCAGCTCAAACCTCCATTGAGCGAAGTGGATCATTACAAGAAAAGTAGGCTTCATCTCTCAGGACACAACATTTTCTCGTTTCTTCCACTTCCCCTGAAGCAGGTTGCGTTGTTTCCCTGTTAATGACGAAATAATCATGGTATCTCCCTGAACAAGCCTTCAGTACTCATCTGATTCAGAGCTGACAGAGAGCACACTCTGAACAAGGGATGAAGGGATGGACACATCAGCCCTGTCTTAGGAAATCCAACAGATTGGCTTTTGTCCTGAAGTACCCATGTTGACGTAGTGCAAAAACAGGTCACAAATGAGGAGCATTTCCCACTCCTTCCTAAAGCCCAGTGAATTGCCAAATCCCAGACCTCCATACCCAAACTCTTCCTGGAAAGAGTTCACCGAGTTGAACTTGTTCTCAAAGCAAAGGGCAAACTCTTGCAACTTGCCCAAGCCTGGTATTAGCAGCTACTTCTCACTCACACATCACTATTCCTGC